TCTTAACTCATTGTTAGACGGCCATGTCGATGTCACCATAAAATCAATATCCGACACTGTGGCCCCATAGATATTTAATGGCTCTTACGTTTCGATGAAAAAAAAAAAAAAAAAAAAAAGAAAAATAAAATTTCACTTGGAAATTGGAGATACGTTTTGATAAATTTTTATAATTGTGTAAGAGAGAAGAGACGAACGATTGAAAATTGCAAAGAATTGTATATATATAAAATTATTGATTTATACGCGTTTTGATTGAAGAGACACTTTGAATGGATAATATTTGGAATTAACTTGGGATATATATACAGCCGTGCGGTTAATAAGCTTTCGTTATACATGATATATCGGATTGAGAATTGTTAACCGCGCGCTATTATTAGAATACCAAAATTTTAGACGCATTCCGCTCTAGTAACCGCTAATTAGTGCGCGTAATAACACCCCTTGTTAATTAATTTACGTGGCAATCAATGTGTCAAAATTGATGTGATTATCAAAGGAATTCTGTGTATGCGAGCTAAAAAAATCTTTGAGCGTAGACAGAAATTACTTGTAAATTATTAGTTTCAATCGAGTGTCGTTGTCATAAACGAATTTGAATTTCATAAACAATTATCGTAGAAATAGGTTTTAGAGGAAAAGAAGCAAAAAAAAACCAATCTTCGTGAAAAGTAATATTTTTTTGACAACGAAATTCCAAACTCGAAAAATTGATGTCAAATTAAAATATTATTGAATGCTCTATAATAAATATTAAAATAAATATTGAATCTTTTCACAACTATTCTCAATAGAGAATAGAACCTTATCGAAGAAAAATTCTTTCCAATATCCTACACATGATTATTGCCACAAACATCTCTCAACTGGTGGATCTTTTCGATCTTCTCGATGATGGCCAAAGTTGCGACGAGAGAAAAGAAAATAGGGGTGAAGAACCCCTAAATTCCCAGAAAGTAAATTTCTGGGAATCTCGAGGGGGAGGAATAATGGATGATAACGTGTGGTAGGGCAGTTTCGTCGAGGACAACGATTACCAACCTTGAACGTCCCCCTCGGGGACACTTGTGAACGATCTTCCAGAATTCTTGCCACAAGAGGGTGAATCTAGCCTATCTACTGCATCGTCCAGCACTATTCTCACTCCCTAAGCGTCTAATTTGGGGCTAATTAAACAGAAGAAAGTCGATCGGTTTTCGTGTTATACCAGTTTGGGATAAATTTAGCTGCGATTGGTATTCCAAGAGGATCATCATTTCAACCATTTTCGTATCTCGTAACATGGAGTTTCTGGTAAATGAATCGCAAATTTGAGAGTTGAAATTAATCGATAATTATTGCAAGACGATGATTGATACGATGTTAATGATTAAGCAATTTTTTATACCGCCATGAATATCTTTTCATGTGATAAAAAGACTTGGAGATCGTGCAACAGGATATTAATAAAAGTGGAACGAAGTTAAATTTATCGTCTCTCGAACGATCGATATTAATTTTTTGTTTTATATGAATAATGCATATATAGATGCTTATACATGTATTTTAAGCGAGACTACTTATATATGTATAAATGAATGAAAATTTTCCTGACGTCAAAGCTGCACGAGCATAACGAACGAAATTATAGATTAAAAAAAAAAAAAAAAATTCACAATCATCGTTATTATTCATATCTCTTAAAATAACAAACACACACAATTTATTTAATATTAATTTTCTCAAAACCAATTCTAAATTATTTACATCGAATTATATCTAAAGATGAATTTTATTTTCAGTTTTCACGGAAACTCGAGGCGGAAGTGAAAAGGAATTTTAAAGAGGAAAATGTTTCGATAGATTCCGACGGTTGGAAAAATAATCGAGAGAGTTTTTCCTGTTGGAGCGGAACTCAATGCCATCAGAAATGGCTTAGCGACAATTGGCACGAGAGGGAAGGAATTCCTTGGCAAGCGTCGTCTACGTATCCCGGTTGAAAATTGCTCAAATGTTCGATCGATCGGGTATGCGATATTCGATCGCGTTGGTCGAATCTCAGCCTCGAGAAAGAGCTCCACCAGGTTCTTTTTCGAATCGTGAGAATAGGAGTTGGAAGATTAAGGGTAATTGATATTAAGACAGGTATCGAGAAAGATATTGATCGTTTATAGCTAACAGTGATGGGGAAAATTTAAATTTAGTTAAAAGTTATCGAATAAAGTTACTTCGATAAATTAAGTTTAATAATTTATCGTTTAAAACATAATAATATGGTTATATGAAAACTGGATCAACTATAATAGCTACGAATAAATGTTTAATAATTAATTTAAGCATTTTAATAAGTAATTATTTAAAATAACTTTATTCGAGATTTTCAATTAGTTATTCTTTCAATGGATTCAATGCTCATATTTGATAGCTAAATACCAATGTGTAGCTTGTTTTATCTAATTTTTGCTTTTCTTAAGAAATTTGAATTAAGAAAAATTTATGTATATAAAAGCCATTAATATTATATTTATACATAACAAAAATTGATTGAGCAAAATTAGAGAACTGATTCTTGAAAATAAAAATCATGTACACCAAATTCAAATTAGTAATGTCGAATCAATATGTTCAAGTTCAAATTATCATAAGCGGATATGGAAGGGGAATTCAGATAAAAATCTTACAATTTTCACTCTTTCAATACAAACTTTACTCTTACGTCTCTTTATATACATCACGTAAAATATCTCCACACTTTTCACGTATATCGTTCACCGATCTTATCTATCATCATTCATAATTCCTAAATCAACACGCATGGAACTCGATTTCATCGATGAATCAATCTTGATCGTCGATTAAATCGTGAACGAGATCTCCGCGAATATCGTTCTCGAACCTCGGCGGAATATATCAGCGTCTCGGTGCGGAATAATTGAGACGACAAAGCGATTCCTGTACCTGGGAGGCCTATTCACGCGCGTCAAAGGCCGTCGAGGACCGATGTGCATCGTCTACCATTCGCGGACAATGGCAATATTAACGCTGGATGGAGTGCAATTCCCCATTGTTCCAGAATCGCGATGCATCTTAAAGCTCCACCATTATCGCGCTTAAAAAAAAAAAAGGGAGGAGGAAGACGAATCGACGCCATGTCATGTTCTCGTATTGTGCGTTATAAAAAATTCGCACAAGAATGTATCCTTTTTTTCCTAGTTTTTTTTTTTTTTTGTTATCTCGTTTTATTGGTTCGATACGGTTTCGAAGATATTTATTAGCAGAGCTTTTCGGTCGGAAATAAGAACAAGAATGAACGAGATATCGGAGGATGATTCGATGGATGTTTTTTTTTTCTTTTTTTATTATGAATTTAATTCGTTTGTGCGGGATTTGTGTAACAAGTGTCGAGTGACGGAACGTTATCGGGAATCGTATTTTAGGATTGATGAGTGTGTTTTGTTATTAAGTCGGATTACGTGACGCACATGGTAAAAACGTATCGCCATTTTGAAAATACTGATTAAATTATTATTTTGAAATATAAATAAGTACAATTGTAAATAGATAAAAAATATTTATACATTTAATTATTTAAGAGAGCCAAATCTACGTTGATCAAGTCCTAATTTATTCTCGAACCTTTCAAAAAATCCCTTTATGGAATTCTTTACGTCATTAACTCGTGAATATGCAACATTCCAAATTCACAATCGCAAGGAACACTTTCCAAATCTATCTAATTCTCATCGACAAGTGATTCACGAGTCTACTACGCCCCCTTTATTCGCGCCACATGGCGAAATCACGCCATCATCATCACTTACACCATTCAATGGCGAAACACCATAATCATAACCCACGTTCGTTAAAACTTGGAGACGGCTATTCTCGAACGATCCATTGTCCAAACACTGTCCTAAAAAGGAATTTTCGAGCGCGTTATCGAATCACACGGCAATTTAATCCACGGCGTCCGTGTTCATCTCGCAGTCACTG